ATAATTTAACCGCAATTAATTCGTAATTGCGAGAACTGAAAGAAACAAATAAATAAATGGTGCAGTTGTATTGATCAAATTTGATTTGAAATTACAATAGCTTGCGATTAAATATTAATTAAAATTAATATAACAAATAATAATCAATTTAAAATTTATTTAATAATAATTCATTATTAATTAATAACATTTAATTAATTTATTAATGTTCGAGATTGTTAATAAATAAGGTACTAGGAATAAATTGAAAAATATTATTAAATAGGAGTTATCTTCGATCGATGGAGGGGGAAAAAAAAAGAAAAAAAAAAAAAAAAAAAAAAAAAAGAAAAAAAAAGAGAAAAAAAAATAATTGTCGTTAAATAGAGTTATCTTCGATCGTCGGTCATTCAACTGTGTATCTATCGGTAAACGTGTACTACTTTCTAAATCAGTATGAAAGAACTAACGTTCTAATACAACTACGTATTAGTTTCGTATCTTGGACATTAAATCGACAGGATTGACCCATTGAATACTAGATTAAGAATCTCTTGACGATCGTTATGTTACTGCGAAATAAATATCCATGGTCTAACGATTTACTTGCTTAATCCTAAAGTTCCAGTTAATAAGTTAAACGTTAGATCAGTAATCGGTCCAAATTAAAAATTAAAACCAAGATTGGTCGGTCGAACATTTATTTATTTATTTATTTATTTATTTACTTATTTATTTATTTATTTATTTATTTATTTATTTATTTTCTTTCTCTCTCTTCTCATACTCTTCTCAGATTAATTATTAATTATGTAAGTTGATCTAGTGAAACCTTGCCAATGAAATGTTGTTAGCAGTAATATAATACATAATATTATGCTGATGTAACACGCTCAGTTACATGGTTTTTTATTATGTATTTATCTTCTATCCATATCTCTCTTTCTCTCTCTCTCTCTCTCTCTTTTGATTTATTTCTCTAATTATTTTTCCACTGTTTTTTTTTTTCTTTTATCTTCTTCCTATTTTTTCTATATTTATTTTTCTTTTTTCCTTTTTTCTTTCCTTCTTTTTTTTAAATTTTAACAATAATAATATAATAATTAACAATAATAATAATTTTTTAAATTATTAACAATAATAATAATACGACTTTACCTTTTCACAAATAATACCGACAACTTGATATCGTTTAATTTAGTTTTTTTTTTTTTTTTTTTTTTTTTTTTTTTATGCATACAATTATGTTTTACGCATACATGTAGATATTAAAAAGAAAAACGCGTTTAGAAACGAAATTTATTATTCAAATAAATCATACCATTATTAAAATATAATAATTAGTTTAACAAAACGCTTATTAATATTCCATAAATTTATCTATCTCATTGAAAACAATCGATATTCTTTTTCGTAATTGAAATTTCGGATCCTACATTACAAATAAATCAATCAAATATAATAAGGATAATAGTGAATTATAAAAATGAAAAATGAAAAAAAGAAAAAAAAAAAAAGAAACAAGAAAAAAAACAAACAGAACAAAACAAAGAAATATAACAAAAAAGGAAAAAAAAATACAAATACATAATCAAATGATAAGACAAAATAAAACGAAAGAAAAAAGAGAAGAAAAAATAATACAATCCAATTAATACAATATACAATATTTTATAGGAATTCGATTATTGTCCGATGATACCGTTCAGACCAGTGATCGAACCAGATCATCCTAATGCATTTATCACCGAGGATCCCATTGTCAAGACAAAAATTGGCAAGGTCATGGATATACCATGGATGATAGGTGTTACTTCGGAGGAAGGATCCCTTAGAGTACCATGTACGTATTATTTTCATTAGAGATCATAGAGATCTTAGAAATTCTTGCTTTAGCAATCGGATTTCGGAAGAGAACGAGAGAAAGAAAAAAAGAGCGAGAGAGAGAGAGAGAGAGAGAGAGAGAAAATGATGAAAGAAAAAAAAAGAGAAAAGAAAACGAAACGAAAAAAAAAATGTTTCCTTTGAAGAACGTTACCGAACCGTAAATAATTGATTTCAGCTCTCTACGCTTTATCCAATGGCGAATTGATTAAGAAAATGAATGATGATTTTTCGAACGTTGCACCGTTGACCTTGCTACACGGTGAAACCTGTCCTGATCATTTGCGAGATATAATTAGCCATGCAATAAGAGAATTTTATTTCAAAGGAAATCCTATAGATAATTCCACTCGTTTTCAAGTTATCGATGTAAGTATTATATTAAATGTAATGTTAAGTGTATATGTCTCTTAAGTGTAATGGTTTTGCTCTAACGGTTTCGTGATCGAAGATAAAAAAAAAAGAAAAAAAAAAAGAAAAAAGGAAGAACAAAAAAGAAAAGAAAAGAAAAAGAAAAAGAAAAAGAAAAAGAGTAAAGCGGCGAGATAGAAAATATGTAAACAACTTCGCACTAACAGCTATGCGAGTTTTCTTTTTCCTTTTCTTTTTCTTTTTTTTCTTTTCTTTTTTTTTTTTAATAAAGAAAACAGAAATATTAAATTAGCAAATATAATTATATATATATATATATATATATATATATATATATATATATAAATATATTTATATTCATGTTTATATTTATTAATTTATATTCTATATTTCATGATATCTTTGGATAAAGATTAGAAAGATAAAAAGAAAAAAAAAAAAAAAAAGAAAAAGAAAAACGAAAAAGAAACGTAAACATTGCAATAAACAAGGATATTAAAGCATTTATACGTGCTTGCATATTTTATAAACATGCTAATAGAATTGATCAAGATGTTATCAGAAATTATCCACGACAGTATTTTTTTTCTTTTCTTTTTCCTTGAAATAAAGAAAAAGAAAAAAAAAATATTACTAGTGATTATTAATTATATATACAAATGACTTTATCGTGCATTTATGATGACAAAATATTCATCTTAATAACCTTAAAAAATATTAACAATAATAATAATAATAATAATATTTAACATAAAATATTTATATAATAATAATTATATATATATATATATATATATATATATATATATATATAATTTAATGAATTTATTATAATTTTAATTTAATTAAAATATTTAATATTTTTTAATATTTATATAAAAATAATTATAAAATATAATTTTAATATGATATATAATATTATCTTTCAGATGTATAGCGATGCTTGGTTCAATCACGGTACTCGTACATCGATTCGTGATTATTATAGAACCCAATCATCACCGATTTATTATTATTATTTCTCTTACAAAGGTAGCGCATCATTTAGCAAAATATTTGGCGACGATACCATGGATTATGGTGTAACGCATGCCGATGATTTGCAATATCTATTTCCGGTTGGCGAACAATTATTTCCTGACATTCCATTATCAAATGACGATCACAAAATGATCGACATTATGACGTTACTATGGTACAATTTCGCTAAATCCGGGTAAGAATTATCTTAAAGACAATTATATATCCTTTAGATAATATTCGCGTATAAAGAAAAAAAAAATAAAAAAATAAAAAAAAAATAATCAGAAAAAATAACAACAAAAAGAAAAAGAAATTGTTAAATTATTAATTTAATCGTAATCGTTTTGATTATTTTTCATTGCATTAAATTATTATTATTATAATAATAATAATAATAATAATAATCATCATCGTCGTCGTCACGATTGATTAGTAATTAAAAAAAAAAAAAAATATATCAATGATATTAAATAAATAAACAAATAAATAAATATAAAAAATATGAAAAATATGAAAAATATAAAAAAATATAAAAATAAATGCATATTATTATATTTTTTTTATTTCGTTTTTTTTTTTCTTCTTTTTTCTTTTCAGAAATCCAACGCCAGAAATAACGGAGATCATAACAGAAAAATGGAAACCAGTGAGAAGTCAATCGTTAGAATATTATCGTATAAACAATTTGTTTTTATCCATGTCAGACGATCTTCATCCAGAAAGAAGAAAGTTTTGGGATAATTTGCCGGCATGCATTAATCCGGACAAAACTAACGAGATACGTCATGACGTTAAAGAGGAATTATAAAATCTTTGTCATAGCTATCGATCTTTATCACATTAGAAAATTATTAGAAAATATAAACACATATATATATATATATATATGTGTGTGTGTAATTAAAACGAGACTGTATTTAACGAATTGTTTTTTAAGTATCGATAAAGAGAAACATTTTATATATATATATATATATATATATATATATATATATATATAAATGGAAATGGAAAATAGAAATTTTACCATGACTGAACGTAAATTATAATAATACAATGAGATTCTCTCTACGTGAACTTAATATTGTTATATTCGAATTGATGTAGATGTAGAGATGAAAGAGAGAAGAAAGTAAAAAAAAAAAAAAAAAAAAAGAAAAAAAAAATTATACAAATACCCGTAGAAATGAACATGAACAATATACAATATAAATTGAAAAAGAAATTGTATCAAATATAAAAAAATCTCTTCATTATACTCGTCGAAGGATTAATAATTTTTTAATGTTACGCTACGTGTATGCTAAAGATCATGCGAAAGAAAAAAAGAAAAAAAAATAGAGACAAGAAGAGATAAATCATGTGCTCTCGTTAATTAGATTAATATTTCTGTTTAGTCAGATTGTTTTTTTTTAGATAATTTTTGAAATACATGTAAAAATTTTAAGATTATATACTTATATATATATATATATATGTATTTTGATTTTTTTGTTTTGTTTTTTAGTAACGAAATAAAAAAAAAAAAAGTGCATAAAGAGTAATAAAAAAAACACTTGAGAAAAGAAAGAAAAAGAGATAAGAAAAGAGAAACGAAATTTTGGTTTTCTTTATTCTTTTCTTCGTTTTCTTTTTTCTTTTTTTCTTTGTTTCATTGTCCCGTTTTTTTTATTTTTTTCTTTTCTTTTCTTCATTTCCCCGTCATTACGAAAGAATTATTTTATCCTTATGTCCCTTTTTCTTTTTTTCGATTTTTTTGTTTTTATTTCCAAGCATTTTTTATTTCCTCCTTCGAGAAATCCATCGACGTTAATAATCTCATAAATGATTTATTGGTAACGCGATCGATAGAGCCATACAAGCCAATGATTTATTTTGATCGTTAGTATCATCGAATGGATATTCGAAAGATTTCGTATCGTCGTTGTACACCTTAAAATCATTGTACTGTACTTCGGCGAGTAAATTAAATCCCAATTTACGTGCTGTATTTATTAATAATAATAATAAAAAAAAAAAAGAGAGAAAGAGAGAAAAGAAATTGTTATTTAAATAAATAAATAAATGAATATATATATATATATATATATATATATATATATGATATGCAAATATAAAGAATGCATAATATATATTTGAAAATGTTTTACCCATATTTTGACTAATAATGGAAGTAAATCCAGCTATGCAAGCAGGGGTTAAAAGAGTTCTTGCTCGTTCGATGCAACAATTAATCAAAGCCGTTGCAATACCTTTTTTCCGATGATTCGCATGTACAAATAATAAATGTATACGAAAATATTTATCAATTTGTAATACCTCGTAAGGACGTGCTTTAGAAAAAACACAACTCCTAAGACTCATTATATTAAAGATTGCATCTCCTTGATTAGCCTAGAAAAAGATATAAAGATAAATATTTGTTAGATACATGCACACAAACATATACATACACGTACATATTTATATATACGTCATATCTATGTAAATATTTATAAATATTTACCATCAAAAATTTTTTCATTGAAAATATTTACCATTAATTAATGGTAAATATTTTTTTACGAAGTAATACGTATTAATCATATTACAAGTAATATGATTAAATAAATAGAATCGTATAAAAATGAGAGAATAATAAATTAATCATAGGAAATTTCATCATAAGACGATCAAAAGTTCAACGTACGCATATTTCCTGATTAAAAAATTACAAATTTATTTTTTTCTGTTTGTTTTTTTGTTTTTTTTTCTTTCTTTTTTGTATTTTTTTTCCCCCTTATTATTCGAACGTAATTATAATAATTTAAAGAATAATAATTACTCTTATACGTGTTTCCGTTCGTTCGTGATCTCCCATAAAATTAATCGACGCTACGATAATACCTATGATCTTATTTTCACCTTCTTGAACGGCACAATAACTTTGCTTCTCCGACAATTTATTGTATATCATTTTAATAGAGGTTTTCATCGACATCAGATCGTCCGAAAAATCGATACCTATACTCATTGGTTCCTTCTCGAAGAAATCTTTCTATATTATCAAAAAAAAAAAAAAAAAAAAAAAAAAAACCAAAAAAAAAAAGAACAAAAGAAAAGCAAAAGAAAAAAAAATTCAAGGTAGCATTTAAAAAATTTCACAACCTTATACCTTATTAGAAACGATAATGAAAACAAAGTCTTAGCTAAACAAAGAAAAAGAAAAAAAATTTCAAGATCTCGCAACGACGTCAGGTCTAAGAATTAATATTAACAACCAGATTATAAATTTTAAAATTCTAGAATTATATATATATATATATATATATATATATATATATATACATGTAAAACATATAAAAAAAAAAGTCACACCGATACAATTATTAATAAATTAATTATATATTACAATGTAGGTAGATAATAATTTTTTCTTGTTCTTTTTTTTTTTTTTTTTATATATATTATTAAACTTTACTCTTGCAAATGTGTACTCGTATAAAATTTATTGCTTCCATAAATCTATCCTCCTCGAGGCTAATGATACGATAACCATTCGACATTCTTTGCCAAACGATAGCTCCTACGTATTTCTTACGTTTAATTCTTTCATTTAGATCTTTCAAGAAAACAATATCACTCTCGAGTAAGTCGTAAACAGTTGATCTTTTTCGAGACTGCAATTTAAATGTTACAGTTTCCTTGAACATTTTTTTTCTGTTTCTTTTTTTTCTTTTCTTTCTTTTTTTCTCTCTTTTTTTTTCTTCTCTCTCTCTCTCTCTCTCTCTTCTTTCGACAATTATTTTCCTTCAGAATGAATTGACAAATATTAACACGATAATAATTTTTTCATTCATTAAATTATAATCAAGTGAAGTAAGCGACAAATCTTTTAAACGATTAGGAATCAATTTCACAGATTTATTACTTAAACATGTAAGAATTATTTATACGTAAACGCGTTTGATTTTGTAAATTTGTTAAGAATAAAGAAAAAAAAAAGAGAGAGAAAGAGAGAAAGAGAGAAAAGGAAAGAGAGAGAGAGAAAGAGAGAGAAATACTAGAAAATTAATTTTTTTTTTTCTTGTAATAAATACAAAATATTTTCCCTTTCAACGAGATGGACGAGTATAATGAGAAAGACGATGAATTAATTGAAACGAAGGATAGAATGTTCGCGCCTCTCGAATGGGACTCTACGATTAATTGCAAAATACAAGATCTTAACGAATCGTTATACGAGGAAGCATGTCGTTTGATAAAAGTTCAGAAATTTTAAATATAATTACAATTTTGATTCGATCTTTTTGAAACATTGATGAGCAAAAATGATCAACCCTCGTTCAAATTGTACGCCAGGGCTACGTTATCGCGAAGAAAAAGAAAAGCAAAATTAAAGTGAGAAAGAAAGAAAGAAAGAAAAAAAAAATAATAATAATAACAAAGGAAAAAGAAAGAAAGAAAAAAGATAGAAGAAAAAAAGGAAAAACTTGGACGACGCGTTAATAATGCATACATTTTTTTTTTCTTTCTTTTTTAAATTAAAATCTCAAATTACTCAGAATATATCCCATAGATATTGAAAGATCCGTATTAATAAGAAATAATAAAAATCAAATAAAAATCTACTAATATTATGGCAAAATAAACAAATATCATCCATGTAAAATTGTAATCGTACATACGATCAATATAGATTATTTATTTATTTATTTTTATATATATATATATATATATATGTATTATATTTAATATATCGAATAAACGTATGCTCATCGTTGTTTCATAAAGTTAATACAAACTTAATCTCGTCTCGTTATATCTGTTTATTTTCCTTCTTTCTCTTTCTCTCTCTCTCTCTCTCTCTCTCTCTGTATTTTCTCCTTCAACTCTCCTTCAATCATCTCCTATTGACTTTATCACTTTATAACAGCATCATTATTTTCGCGAGGAACCAATGTGTAAATCCATTGAATTATTAAAAGACAAAATATCGGTCGATTCTTATCTGAAATTAATAAAAACTTGGATGAAGGATACAACGAGTTTAGTAGCACTGAGTATAAATTCTGGAAGAGTTATTGGTGTCGCTATAACGAGGATCAACGATAATTCCGAAAAGACGAATATATTTGAACGTAATCAAGTAAACATTTCAATTAAATTATCATATTCGAAGATATGCTGGTACGCGTGTATGTGTGTACTTGCATGCGTGTGTTTGTATTTAGGGTAACCATTTAATATTTTTTTGAAGATCCTTAAAAGTAATATCGTACGTCAAGTAAACATTTCAATTAAATTATGATATTCGAAGATATGCTCGTACGCGTGTATGTGTGTACTTGCATGCGTGTATTTGTATTTAGGATATCATTTAATATTTTTTTGAAGATCCTTAAAAGCAACATCGTACACACGAGGCTTCAATATTAATCAAATTCATTTCAATTAATCGAATTAATATGCATTATTATTATTATTATTATTATTATTATTATTATTATTATTATTATTATTATTATTATTATTATTATTATTATTATTATTTTATGTATTATATTTTTTATATAATACATTTTATATATTTTCTATAGTTTACGATAGAATTTAAATTATAATAGAATTTAAATTTTATTTATTTTAATTTAATTTAAATATAAAGATAAATTTTTGAAACGTGATCCTCCTCTCCTCATCCCCTTATCCCCCCCCCTCTGCTTCTCATTTAGCCAATATATTTCAATGTGGCCCAATATAAATTGAAATTAAATTATATATATATATATAATGCATTATAATTTAATATATATGCACATAAAAAAATATATATATATAAAATATATATATAATATATTATAATTTGATATATATGCACATAAAAAAAAATATATATATATAATATATAATTTAATATATCAGCACATAAAAAAAATATATATATTATTATATATATAAAATATGTATATATATAAAAAATATACATATATATATATATATATATATACATGTGTTTTTCGTTTATGTTACTTTTAGATACTTACAGGAGAATCCTTACAAGATATTATGTTTCTAATAAACGAGGTTACGAAACAATCCGATATTTATGTTAAATTCAAACAAGATCTTTGCTTTCGCATATATATACTTTGTGTTCATCCAACTTATAATAATAAAGGCATTGAATCTGCATTATTACGTGCATTTATACATGCAGGAAGAACGATGAAATTACCAATGGTTGGTGGTATATTCACGTCGGGTTATAATCAATTATTGGCGGAGCAAGAAGGTTTCAAAATTTTATCAGAGATACGTTATAATCGTTGGATCGTTAATGACGCAGTTGTATTCGATGATCCTGGAAAAGGAAATTATTCGGCTACCTTTATGGGAAAAATAATCGATTACAATGACCCAAAGGATAAATATAAATACGATGTTTAACAATCCTATCAGATCAATTCATTAATTGATTTCAATTCATTAATTCTTTCTTTCTTCCTTTCTTTTCTCTCTCTCTCTCTCTCTCTCTCTCTCTCTCTCTCTCTCTCTCTCTCAACTACTTATTTATTTACTTACATTCTTTTCTTTATTTTATTGCACTCGGTTGCAAAACTTGCATAGCTTGCATACAATCGATTGAACTTTTTTGGAACTTTTTTATTTTATTTTCTTTTTTTTTTTTTTATCATTATTATTTTTCCTTATTCATTCTAATATTCTTAATAAAATCTATACAAACGTGAAACAATTATTTATCTGGATTAATTTTCATATCGTTTCTTTATTCGTTTTACTTCGTATCGATTTTTGACTGCCTTGAAGTTGATAAACGTACAATTCTCCTCCTTTTATCGATTCGATATCGAATAGAAATTTGTATATCTCGAAGATTAAAAAATTTCTTTATATGTGCAATGTTAAATAATTATAAAATAAACATATATATGTGTGTGTGTGTATATATATATATAAAAATTTGAATTTGTAATGCAATAAATAATTTATAAAAAAATAATTTTAACATACATCAATACAGTCGATATGATAGTTAATTGTCGTATAGTAAGTAACGCTATCTAGCGGAAAAATTCGATCAACTATTAGTTAGCTTTGTTACATGCTAGTGTTATAAATTGTAAATCAAAAATGTCATATTATATATATATAAACATAAAATTGCATGTGGACATAAACATGATAAAGATTATTGAATAATAATGAAATAATAATTTTTGCTGTCTCACGAATATTTTAACTAATAAATACTTTTACATAATCATATATATACATATATTTATATATATATTTATCTTTTTATTGAAACAAATTTTAAAACAAAAATAACATAAGTAGAGAATATTTCATATAATTTTGTGAAATTTGTGTAATTATATATTTTAAAGAAGAACAAGTAAACACTATCACAAATGATGAATAATAATTGTAAAATATAAATTGAGGATTAATTGGAAGTATAAACAAATAAGAAATGGATCTAGATAATGATTTAAAAGAGACAGATCATGATATTAATAAGTTACGTAAGTTACAATTGGACAATTAAAAGTAAAGAAAATATAATATTGACATAATATCAATCATGCATTTCACATGATACATTAATGTTTCACATATATTCTTTAGCTCTTGATTGGACATGGGATCCCAAATATAAACCAACAATGTCTGAATTATCAGAAAATAATTTAGAAGTAACATTTCATCCAGATTATAGTATTGGTACTGCTGTGGTAAGAGGTAATATGCCATTGAAAAAAGGAAATCATTATTATTGGGAAATAAAAATGCTTACATATATATATGGCACAGATGTAGTGAGTGTATTTTTATCATAAGTATCATATTTAAGGCTTAAAAAAAAAATAAAAAAAAGAAAAAAAAAATACACGTTATTATGTGTATTCTTTAAGTACTTTTCAAACTATTTCTTATTGTACCATTTAAACATTTTATGATAGTTATATTATTGAATTAATTTCAATGACATAATATACATCTAGCTATATAAATTTTTATATATATAGATGATTGGTGTAGGCACTGATAAAATAGATCTAACAAATGTAACAAAAACATTTTGTTCTCTACTTGGACGAGATCGAGAATCTTGGGGATATTCTTATAAAGGATTTTTACAACATGCTGGTGAAAAGCATAATTATACAGCATGTTTTTTAAAGAATAGTATAATAGGTGTACATCTTGATACTTGGAATGGCACATTGCAATTTTTCACAAATCGTAAACCATTAGGTATGTATTACTTATATAAAATATTATTTTAATTATATTATTAAAATAATTAATAAAAATAATAATATGATATGAATAATCAATAAATTGTTGATTATTTAAATTGATTATTAAGAAGTTGATATTTTGTAGGTATAGCATTTACCGGATTAAAAGATGTTGTCCTTTATCCTATGGTCAGTTCAACAGCTGCACAAACTAGAATTAAATTAATATATTCCTGTTCAATGCCTATATCTTTACAAGCGGTATGTTTATCTGTATTACCATCAATCCAAAGACAATATATTTCTTCTACTTATCCTGTATTAAGATATTTAACTGAAAGTGCATTTGCAGATATTTTGCAAAAGAATTTAGGTAATTTCTTTTTTTTTTTTTCCCCATTACTTTTAACATATAATGCATAAAAATTAAACATTTTAAAATATAGCATTATTATTTCCTTAATTATTATTTTACAGAGACTGATAATGATGACGAAGTTATTGAATTTTTATCTGAATATACTACACATACGACTAATGTGGTATAAACGTGGTAAAAAAAAAAAAAAGAATAAAAAAAGAAAAAAATAGAATAAGATAGAATAATATAGAACGATAAAAGAAATCTATGAAGCAATGAGAATGCATCATATTCTCTTGATGATTCTATATGTTTTATGATTATTACAAGCTGAAAACTTTATCTAACATTAATCGACATGATAATTAAATTAAAGTATATCTATTGAAAAATTATAAATTATATAATGCCAAAAATATATATATATATATATAAATATAACTTAATGTAATAAGCATTATATGTAAGTAAGAAGATATGTATATCATATAAACAGATATATTTGATATTTATATATATATTATGATCAATGTGTTTAACATGGACATTTTGTAAAATGATCAGGCACTGTATAAAGTGCCCAATTTTTTTTTTGTTTTTTTTCTAACAGTTTGTAACTAGCAAATATTTTACAAATGGCCCTAACATTTTATACAATTCCCAATAATTGGACAGTACGTTGAATCCATAATTAACATTCTTTTAACTTTATCTCTTGTACTTTATATACAAGTACATATCAGGATCACAGGAGTATAAAAGATAATACAACTGCATAATTAAATGTATATTTAAAAAAAAAATGCCCATCCAGAACTATCAGTCAGTTCTGTTGAATTTCAAGTGCCACAACTCTTTGCCTTGCTCCAATAAATGATCCTTATAATAGTATGTTGATAATGCTCACGTCAAAGCAATTGACCCTAACATATATATATATATATATATATATATATATATATAAATATAAATTCTATAATACTGAACGAACGCTATATTTATCTTTTGTATGTACTTAATTGTATTTAAATGTTTTAATTAGAAATTATCAATATATATTAATAAAAATCATGGATCTTTCATAAAAAGTTATATATATATATATATACATACAAAAACTTGACAACTTTATTGTAAGAATAATAATAATTTATTGTAATCTTTGAATTTTCTTTTCTGGTTCTATTTTATTCCCCGTATTACTTCGTTTTTTATTTAAAGTATTCTTTGCGTTATCAGCAATTTTAGCACAAAATAAAATAGCTTGAGCCCAACCAGCCAAGGGACCCCATAATTCACGTAAATGCGTACTAATTTCTTCATGAATTTTTGGCGTTACTGTTTTCTGTTTTCCTAAATGCGGTAAATAATTTGCTCGTACAACTTGAAATATATGTGTATCTATTGGTATGGCTTCTAAATGTCCCAAAGACATTAAACAAATACAATCGGCAACTTTTGGACCAACTCCGGGAAGTGTAAGTAATTGTTCTTTAGCCTCAAAATATGAGGCATTATTACATTTATGAAGACTCATAAGCCATTTTCTTCCCCCAAGTTCCTGGACTTTTTTTGCAGTATTTGCTATATACGCAGCACGATATCCAAATCCTTCCTTTCTCAATATAGACTCTACATTTTGTCCTTGTAATAATTCCAACGTTGGAAAATCAAAATAATCATTACCATCAATGGAACATATTTTCTTACCAAATAGTATACATAATTTTTCAACCATTCCGGATATCCTAAGGGAACAAAACTTTCGTATAAAATAACAAAAAAAAAAATTAACAAAAATAATCCGTATACAATATGAATATTAAAAATAAATTAATTAAAATGAAAATAAATTAAACGGGATACCTCTGTATATTGTTGTTAGAAGTACAGATAGAGGAGAATAGATTTTCTAATATATCCTGATTTAATATTCTAATCCCGTCTACCTTTTCGTACGACTTTTCAAAATTTTTATCTACTTCGATCCATTTTTTACAATGATCTAATAATGATATATCCAACCTGAAATATTCTCTTAAAATTTCATCATAATTTTGATTATCGGATAATGATCCTTCAATTGTATATCTTATACTGGTTTCATTTTGTGTTAATGTCCAAACGGAACTATTAAAAACACCTCGATATCCAGTTTCATGTGGCAACCATCTAAAAGAGTAGTCACTTGCATGGAATAAGAATAATAAAAAACACGTTTCAATTGATTAATTATGTATTTATATTTAAGTACAGTAATTACATATATACACACTGTATGCATACATACATACATACATACATACTTATACATATATATATATATATATACACATATGTATCATATTGTGGATAATATAATATTATGTATGATTAAATTAATATAATATTATGTATGATGATTTATGTATACGTTTTTAAACACTGCCAGATAAAATACCTGTGTGTAGTAACAAAAGAAATTTTTGGACAAAATATATATATATATATACATATATATAATGTTTTATCCAAATATTGTACATATACACATATATAATTATGATTGATAGATATGAAAAGTAAAAACAAAGGAATAATACATTGTCTATACACACAGCACACACACACACACATACATACATACATACATATATATATATATTATTTATCGTAATTATTAAACAATATTACCTGAAACTTTGGCCACCTTGCAACGTTGCACCTAAATTTAATTCTTTCGATGAGCATTCGATCATCTTGTTGGTTAGAAATCCCAAACATAACGAAGAACAAATTCGCATAGCAGCTCCTTCCTCGTCAACTCACTTGATAATACTAACGTCTTTACATTGTATAATACGTATAAAACTATAGAGAGATAGATGTTCCTCTGTTTAGAAAAACGACCGACCCGCCACCTGGCGGCGGACTAGAGAAACAAATTGAAAAAATTTAAGTACAGTACGTACATCTTGAAAACAGTACATACACATATAAAGTATGTACACATTGTACACATTAGTTAAACGTAGTTACTAAACGTTAGAGAAAACGGACATTACGGTTATGGGTAAACTCAGGTATAAGATATTAGTAAACACTGAACAGTAGTTTCTCTCAGTTTGTTAGAATACTCGAACGTGGAAACACTAGTTGCTTCGTTTCATTAGATAGAAATAAAATTTTAAATGTTATATTTTTCATTTGTTATTTTTACTTTTTTATTATTAACTTTTCTAATCGATTATATTTCGATTCGATTGAATTATTTTCGATTTCGCGGGCTAATTAATTTATAAATGTTTTGTGTGATGCTAAAAAATTCTTATAGTTTTTTTTTTTTTAAATTTCTTCCTTGGCTTGATATTTCACGTCACGTGATCATCGTGACGCCATTTCATGTTATCCAATGAACTTACGATTGTGTTATTTTATCGTCTACGCGGGACAAGATGACCATCTCATTCGTGCATTATAAAACAAGATACTTTTAAATGC